TTCGATTCTTATTAATGATTACAGTCCTTTGCTAAATTGGCTACGAAGATCTAAAGTCTCTCCCGTGACTGTAACAAACCTCCAAAACCTCGTGTAATCTAAAATTTGTGCATTTATTCCCTAACCTTTATATGACCCCTATTTTAGTATATAATACACCTAACCCTAAGTTTTGATATAAAAATCTTACAAAAATAGGGGTGGCCACCGGTATAAATATCATTTTTCTTAAAGATTAATGATATAATCCGTAATCAAAAGAATTGACATTAGAAATACAACCAAACTCTTCAAAGTTCACATCTAAAATATAGTTTAAGTAGATTTTAACATAATTTTTGTTAGTATTTACCAAATTGAAAGAAGTATAATTTTGAAATTAGCATTTTTTGTTCAGAGAAATTTAGACTTCTTTTTTTTAAGGGCGTGCTAAGAAAATTCAGAGACTGTTTAATACCGTTATTCCGAATAATCGTATCATCTAACAATAATATATATAACTTCGAACTAATGCATGGATTAATGTAAATTAGCCAATCACATAAATGCCTTCCTATGCCGGATAATTTAAAATAACGCACATGTGCATACTCGAAATGACGAACATGTACACAAAACCACACGTAGGTGGGTATTATTATGCGAAAGTATAGTGCTGGGAATTGAAATACTTTAATAAGAAATCTTAAAAGTTCTTGGTATTTTAGTTTATTTAGGTTATAAATTACATGTAAGGTTAGAGTTATTACTAACAATGCTGCAGAGCAAAACCTGTAACTGATCATAGTAAATCATTATGATCAGTTACAGGTTTTCGCTCTGCAGCACACATATACTGTATAGTTGGTTGCGCAGTGTTAGCTAATGATTAGTTGCTCGTAACAAAGTATATACGTACAAACATTTTTTTAAAATGATTGTTGGTGGATTTATAATCGATTACTTAATATTTCGCTGACGCTTCAATTAGATGACCAATTAATCGATTGCAAGGAAGATAGTCATTAGACTACTGTATACAGACTTTATGAATAGTCTTTAAAATTGCTAGTCATTTAATGATAAAATTTGAATAAACGTTTTCTATGGTGCTTAATGAAATTTACAAAATAAAAAGCCAAACAAAAAAAGCTTATTTATATCTTCTTTAAAAATAAAGGTTCTATTCTTATTCTTCTGTAAAGAATTTTATTGAGTATTATGAAATTTTTAGCCGATAAATTTGCTATTACATGAGACAAAAACAAAAGTTGAATCAAATTTAATTTTATAATTAGAATTATTGTAATGATTCAAGAAAGTTAATTTGTTTTTTGATAAAAAAAATCATGAAATTTAACAGTAAAAGCGTAAGAAACTTCTTTAATACGATCTTTCTTTTAAAATTTATACCTTTATATAGTACTATATAATGATGCAAAGAAATCAGAAAATTAAAAATCACCTATTATTCTAAAAAAGCAAATTTTTTAATGTTAATAAAAGGTTATATTAGTATACGAAATATTGTGATTTGATAAAAGTGAGAAGCTATAATTAATCCCTAACAAATACCTGAACGACGCAAAACTTTAATCGTAATGATATGAATATGTTATAAATATTATTATTATTAGATAGCTCATAAGTATTATAACGGATTTAACACTGTAGTATTCTTATTAAATTATCATGTATATAGTGGAATCTTTCTCTCCACCTTTCAGGCATCTTTGCTTCCTTGTCTTTATTAGAAATCAATAAAAATACACATTGTACACATAAATACAAAGTTCTTTTCGAGTATAAAATTCAACTACTATCGCTGCCTTCTCATTATAAAACATTTACAACTATATATACACTACAACTTAATTTATACATATTACTGCGCACACATGACATGACACCCAGTGTTTATCTTAGTCTTCGAGAGATAGACTAAGGTTGACATTTTTGTAGATCAACTTCGCACCAAAGTAACGTCCAAAGCAAGTTCCTCGTTTGTATTTTCGTATTTAGCGCATCAATCATTTATTGCAATAAAAAAAAAACCAATATTGACATAAATTTTATTTATTATACGATAAACAGAAATTTATTTTTATTATCTCTACATCACTATTAAATTTCATGGCATCCCTTGAATGTGTGCCAGGTTGGCAGCATATTAATCAGTCAAAGTAATTTGCGCCATTTAAAAAAGTTATAATCAATTCAAGTACTAACTACAATAATAAATTAAAATTTTAATAAACAAAAAACTCCATTCTTTAAAACTTATTACTACCCGATTTGTCTCATTTTTATTTTCAAAAAAGTACATCTCTTCGTCTCTTGTAACTTCTAGTCTATAGTATTATAGTTATTCGAATTCACAGAACTAATAGCATGCCTTTTTCATAACGTATTTCAAAATTTTTTTATAGCAGTAGTTCATCAAAGTTCAAATTAAATACGAGAAATAACGAGAACATATTGGTCTTAAAAGTTTGGGTAAAGATTCAAAACGAATATCAAATATGTATAGCTAATAATATAAATACTTAATATACAGTTTATAAAAAAAAACTTTAAACGAACCGTCGAAAGGGTTCATTTTTTAAAAGTTAACTAAGGTCTCTACATACTCAATTTACATATAGAGTATTAAATAATTTACAAATTACAAGAAAATAGAGAACCTACAAAGTACGTATAGTACAAGATGGTTGTCGAAATGCAAAGTATTCAGTAAAGTAGTACTGTACGGAAGTACAGGTTAGAACGGACATACGAAAATTATACTATATTTTGATCGCACGTACGATTAATATAGACTTGTAAAATCCAATTTTATAAGTAACCTTTTTAATGGTTAGAGATAGAGCAAATGCTAGCATTGTCTTTTTTTTGTGTTATTGTTCTTTTTCTTTGTGTTATTGTTCTTTTTTTTGTTATTGTTCTTTTTTTTTGTGTTATTGTTCTTTTTTTTGTTATTTTTCTTTTTTTTGTGTTATTGTTCTTTTTTTTGTGTTATTGTAAGGACAGGTAGAAAGAAAAGTAAATTCGGGTTGACGAATTTTTCTTTTACAAGCCGTAGATACTATCATGATTTCTACACGTCCGTTCTAATTTACGTTTCTGTATTGCATTATTTTTCAAAGGAAACGTATGTATGTACGATAAAGTAAACGAAGATCAAATAAGTATCAGATATAAATTGCAGATTACTACGCCAATAACCTGGCACACATTCAAGAAATGCATGATTTAAAAATCCCAATTATACCGATTTTATATGGGTCTATACATATGTTTGATTTATTATGTTGACCAAACACCCTAACAGTACCGGTACGCCAATTTTAATCATGCAGAATGATCTCCAAAATTTAGACTTTATGCACATTGTTTTACTCCTGATTAGAGTATAGTTATCTAGATTTTGTGTTATCATCCTCAGTGCTACGTAGAGATGCTAGGTCAAATTAGAGATAACACAATCATACCTGCGCATGATGCGTACTTAAGTTTTCGTGATACTCACTATCTAATAATAATTTGACAAAATGTGAAACCTCAATCACGCGCGTATTATGTTCAGCATGTGATAAGGCACATGACATGGCTCAAAATGGACTCAAAAAATGTGCATTTTGCCAATGTTCTATTAATCAACATCAGGAGATTTAAAAATCCGATTATAATCAATTAAAATTTAAGATTTCAAACGATTTTCATCATCACCACCGATTACAGCTGTTTTCGAAAAGATGTGGAAAGGCAATTTTCCGATGCATATATGTATAAGGAATCAGGAAATCGCGATTAGCTAATTAATTATGTATTGTTCGAATCCATTAATCTGCGCCACTTTCTGCAATTTTAATGGTTATTAATTGTGGCAGTGGAACTTGCACCAATTAAATAGTGCGTATATACATATATCTTGCTGGTTATTAGTATGACACCCGACATATTCGAAATTTTTATGTTTTAGAATTGTATCTCCTCGGTGAATATTTAGAATTTTGAAAAAGTAAGTACATTAATCAATGCAGTATATTTGGTCAAACTCATACAAAGTGGACAAAATTAGTGAACAACAATATACATCAGATACAATTTATAGTTTTATATTCAAGTCATTGATGTATATTAATAATAATCTCTATGTTTTATTGTGAGTATAACTTTAAGTCTCATAATTAGTTATTTTAGCTAATTTATATTTATAAAATTATTAGTGGAGAGATAACGTCGGCTGGATCTGCTCAAAGGAAGCGAATTTATAAATTTATTGGCTTAAATAAGAATAAAAGCATAATTGGTCGTCGTTGTGATTTAATAGTATGCGATCAATATGAATTTGCACATTAAGTTGGCGAAGTAAGTGGGCCGCCCTCACAAAAACTTCCCAATAAGGAACGGTTTGATCTTGGCAGGAATAATTGCAATGCGAAAGACGAGAAAAGTCTATGCGAATTAGCTTTAGTCGCAGAATTTGGTCCAATTATAAATGAATCAGATTTGGAGATTTTGGGTGAAATATATGTATTTATGATCCAAGTAAAAGGTATGTATTTTTTCATTAAAATCTTTATTATCAATGTTAATTATTAATAACATGTATAGAAAAAACAATAGAAACATCGGTATTAGATCATATGGCTGATAATATTTATCGTTCGAGACTTTTGAACCGGGCTAAAATCCCTTTAGAAAAAGACAATATAGACAATGTCAATTTTTTACAATTTTTATTCACCATTTATGAATTAATTGTAAGTACTCATACTGTATTGGTGACTTAAAATACTTAAAGAAGTATATGAAATTTACATGTGACTTTATATAGGTTGCCATTAATGAAAATAGCAGTAAATTAAATAAGTTGATGAATACACTTTCAAGAAGAAAACAAGAATGGAAATCCAACAATAGTGATATGGATTTTGATGCTTTAACAATAAGCGAAGCAGCAAAAAAATTGGTCCTTTCACAAGCGATTACCACTTCAACTCCAACATCATCACCATCCCATAGTGACTCAACTGGCTCTGAAAATACGCCAATATCTAGTTTACTAGATTTATTTTTAACCCCAGCACGGGCAAAAGAGACTCTTAAAGAAATGAATACCCTGCTTTCGTTAGAAATAGTTGTTTTTACCACGGACAGCAATATTCTTCTTACACCAGATCGTTTGCCAATAAGCACCGATGATGACGATCTAATTTCGGACATTCGAATTTAGAATTATTAATATAAAAGTGACATAAACAATTATACAAAATTGGTGTATAATGAAAATGAATAAATCGCAAGCTGTCAGTGCTGATTATCATAAAAATCGTTGTTGGCCTGGACAATCAATTAAGATTGAAATCGCTGACAGCCTGGCTTATGATAAAAAGTGCCAATAGCTTTGAAATTTGTAAATATATTTCCGATATAGTGATAGTAGAGTTGACTTGCGTTTGTCAAAAATCATATAATATATTAGTTACATGTTAACTTTAATTGATTTGACCTATTAATATAAAAAGTATTCTAATTTAGGTTCGCTTAACGTTAATGATAAATTACCAAAGTTATGAACATATGATCTCATAGATGAGTTAAATAATGCTAAAATTATATTTCAAAAATATAAAATACTTGTATAACTTCTGGTAAACATAATTTTGGTAGAATTAATTCGTAACTTTGGTAGAATTAATTCGTAACTCTGGTAGCATAATTTTGGTGGAATTAATTTGT